TTTGAAATAAAAAAATAATGAGAAAAATTAATTAAGAACTTAAATAACTTTTATTAATATGTATATATTATTATATATTTAGTATGACACTTTTTATTTGTGTGACTTATTTGTGTTATATTATAATAATTTTTTTAACTTACGACATATAACTACATTAAACATAAATATATTAATTGAGAAATTATTTTAATAAATATTTTATTATTTTTTATTATTATAAACATAAATATAATTTATTTATTTTATATATAAAATATGGATGTCAAATCGAAGATCGTGAAAAGATGATTAATTTGATATATTATATATGTAAAACCGATAAAAATATAAAAGATATCAATTTTTAAAATACATTTATAATTAAATAGCTAATTGAAGGAAACAAATCAAAAGTCAGGGATATATTAGTCACTTAGTGCCTCACTATGTAAAATTACAAAGAATTAAAGGGTTATTAGTACAAGTGGTATTAAAATACCTAAGTTAGCTAAATAATATTTATGAAATGTCCGAACCTAGATTATTAATTATTAATATATCAATATTATTTGTCCAAACCTAATTACGAAGCATGATTTTTTGCCAAGTAGGATTCCGAAGCACCAGAAGCAGCCACGTAGGCTCAGCGCATTCTGGAATTATATATAGGGGGATATCATTATATAGTTTAAAATGACACTTGTTACTTGTGTGACTTAGATGTGTTATATTATAGTAATTTTTATAAATATACCATATAACTACTTGAAATATAAATAGATTAATTGATAAATAATTTATTTTTTTAATTAATATTAAAAATATTTATTATTGTTATAAAGATAAATATAATTTATTTTTTTGTACATACATTATGGATGTTAAATCGAAGCTCATCAAGAGATGATTAGTTTGATATATTATATATATAAAACTTATAAACAATACAAAAGTTATTAACTGTTAAAATATATTTACAATTCAATAGTTATAATAAGAATTGATATTAAAATACAATTAATACATTTAACATGACTTTAAATAATCAACATATTTATGGATAATTCGGACTTAATTATTTTTGGATTGAAAGTAAATTAAAATCTACCCAGCCTAATAACGAAGCATGTAATTTTACCACATATGATCCCGAAACATGCGATCCTGCCACTTAGGCTCAGCACCTTCTAAATTAATATATAGGGGGACTTGTTACTTGTACTAGTTACATGTGTTATATTATAGTAATTTTTATAAATTATACCATATAACTACTTGCAATATACATATATTTAATTGATAAATAATTTTATTTTTTTAATTAATATTAAAAAAATTATTATTGTTATAAAGATAAATATAATTTATTTTTTTATACATACAATATGGATATTAAGTGGAAACTCATCAAGAAATGATTAATTTGATATATTATATACGTAATACTGACAAACAATACAAAAATTATTAATTTTTAAAGTACATTTACAATTCAATAATTGCAATAAGAAATGATTTTAAATACAATTAATACATTTAACATGACCATAAATAATCAACATATTTATGGATAATCTGGACCTAATTATTTTTGGATTGGAAGTAAATTGAAATATACCCAAACCTAATAACAAATATGTAATTTTACAACATAGTATGCGATCCTGTCACTTAGATCAACATATCTATATCTATATCTATAAATATATAATTTGGCAAGACAAGCATTTAATTTTATTGAGATGCATTAAATTTTATTCTCCCTCCAATTTTTTTAGCATTCAATTTCATTTTTAAGTTACAAATTAACTTGCTTGAATGCCATAAATTATGAGCATAAATCAATTAAGGGAGTTACAAAATTGATTTAGCATAAAGAAAATGGTTGTAATGGCTCTTCTATTTTATTATTTCCTATTTGTTTGAGGGTACCGTTAAAATTTCGACGCAAAATTTTTTTTAACATGGTCTCCTATACTATGG